GGCTGTGCCCACTGTGCCTGCTGCTCCTGGAGCTGGCAGCGGGACCAACCCAACCAGCCTGGGACCAGCGCTGGGCACAGAGCTGCTGACCCTGGCACCGGGGGGGTTACAGGGCCAGGGACAGGGAGGCTCTGCTCCCAGCAGGGCATGGCAGTGCCACCGGGCATGGCGGTGTCACACAACAATGGCTGTACCACACAACCTGCCACAGGGCATGGCAGTGCCACATGGGCATGGCAGTGCCACACAACAATGGCAGTGCCACACAGCCATGGCAGTGCCACACAGCCATGGCAATGCCACAGGGCCATGGCAGTGCCACACAGCCCTGGCAGTGTCACAAAATAATGGCAGTGCCACCCAACAATGGCAGTGCCACCCAACAGTGGCAGTGCCACCCAACAGTGGCAGTGCCACACAATCACATCAGTGCCACACATCCGTGACAGTGCCACACGGCCCTGGCAGTGCCACACGGCCCTGGCAGTGCCACTCAGCCACTGCTGCTGCCACACCAGGGCCCAGCAGAACAAGCCCAGGTGGGTTTGGGGCTGGGGGCTGGGCTGGGCCCTCACTGTGGCGATTCCAGGAGCCCAGGGAGGGCCGTGTCCCCCGTGTGCCACCCCTGGTGCCACCCCTGGAGCTATGTGTGCTGCAGCTCCCCATGGCACTGCTGTCACCAGCCTGTCACCAGCAGGACATGCTGATGGTGCCCCAGTCCGGGTGTTCCAGAGCCTTCCACGGGCCCTGCTGTGGGACAGCACAGCCAGGCAGGGGACACGGGGTCCCCAAGGCCAGCCATGAGCTCAGGGGAAGGTCCCCAAAAACCCAAACTCTGCTCAGCACCTTGCACTGATGGGGTCTGGATGGCTTTCCCAAAACCCCTGTCCTGTGTCACTGCCGGGGACGTGACCAGAGCTGTCCCTGTGCTGACAGGAGTGACCAGAGCTGTCCCTGTCCTGTGTCACTGTGGAACAGGAGTGACCAGAGCTGTCCCTGGGCTCTGTCACTGCTGGGCACAGTGACCAGAGCTGTCCCTGTCCTGTGTCACTGCTGGGCACAGTGACCAGAGCTGTCCCTGTGCTGTGTCACTGCTGGGCACAGTGACCAGAGCTGTCCCTGGGCTCTGTCACTGCTGGGCACAGTGACCAGAGCTGTCCCTGTCCTGTGTCACTGCTGGGCACAGTGACCAGAGCTGTCCCTGGGCTGTGTCACTGCTGGGCACAGTGACCAGAGCTGTCCCTGGGCTGTGTCATCCATCATCCATCCATCATCCATCCATCCATCCTCCATCCATCCATCCATCCATCCATCCATCCATCCATCCATCCATCCATCCATCATCCATCATCCATCATCCATCCATCATCCATCCATCCATCCATCCATCCATCCATCCATCCATCCATCCATCCCTCCATGCTCCAGTTGCCAAAATCCCCTGACTGAAGGACACTGAGGGAGGGGACAGGAATAACCTGCTGGAAGCCGCTGGCTTCAGGGATAATTTATTCCGATCCAGAATATTCCCAAACCAAAGAAAATGTAAAAAACAAAACAGAATTAATTCCAGGCCGCGGGAGAAGGACCTCGTGAAGCTCCCAGCCCCAGCCCGGCCCCCATTTCCCCTCTCCTGCCCGCACGGCCGGTGAGAAGGAGCCGGGCCGGGCCGGAGCGGTGCCCGCGGGGAGAGCGGGTGGGAGAGCGGGGCAGGGAAAGCTGCAGCGCTTTGAAGTCTGGTCAACTTTTAACGCGGGGCCGCGCCGTGCCCGCGGCCGCGCTCCGGGCCCGGGGCCGCCGTGCCCGCGGTGCCCTTTGATGGCGGGGCCGCGGCGTTACCGATTAACCAGGGGACAGCAGCTGCGGGGCCCGGCGCGGATGGGCACGGACACGGGGGTGGCCCCGCTGTCCCTCTGCCACCCTGCCACCCCTAAATGACCCTCTACTCCCAGCCCGCGGCCGGTGTTCGGTGTCCGTCTTGTCCCTCTTCCCCTCTCCTTCCCTCCCCTTTCCTTTGCTCGTTGCAGGACCCCCCGGCTGGGTTTTCCAGACCCCCCTTTCCCCCCCGGCACCCCCGATCCCGCTGCAGCCGCCCCTGCCCGGCCCCTGCGGGCCCTGGGCTGCGCTCGCACGGCCGGCGGCTCTTTCGTCAAAAAAGGAAAATGGTTTTTTTCCCCTTCCCGGAGCCGCTCCCGGCCGGAATCCAGCGGGGGATCCATCCCGGCTCCCCTCTCGGGGCATTCCGCGGATAAAGTTTTCCTCTCCACAAACCAGGGGCATCTCCAGCCCGAGCAAGACCCCGGCTCGGCGGCTCCGGGTTTATTCCCGAAGGGATAAAAATCCTGCTTGAGTTTTATCCTGGAGCTGGGAGCAGGCCTGGGAGCAGAGGGGAAAAAGAAATCTAAAGATAAATTTGGGGTTCTCGGTCGGTTTCAGCGTGGCAGCTCCCGGGTTCCCTTCGGAGCATCCGAGCAGCCTCGCCTGGACACTGAGCCGGGACCGAAAACCGCCGGGGCGAGTCGGGGAAAAACCCAAAATCAGGTGGAAGGTTTGTGGATTCCCGAGAGGGCGATTCTTCCCAGAGCGGAGCCGCTCCCCGCGGGGAAATGTTCCGCTGCAGCCCGGGGAGCTGCCGGCCGCGGGGATCCCGCGGGAAGCAGCCGCAGCCCGGCCCCTCTCCCGGCTGCCTCCCTCAGACGATGCCGAAACGAGGGAGATCCGCACGAAACGAAATCCCGGCCCCGCGCCGCGCTCCGCGGCCGCGGATCCCGCAGGGCAGGGCCGGAGGGGCCGCGTGTCCCCCCGGCGGCCCCGGGGCAGGGAAAAGGCCGAGGGGAAAAAAAAAAAAAGGAAAAAAAAAAAGAAATTAAATTGAATTCAGTTGGATTAAATTGATTTAAATGAAATTCCACGAACGGTCCGGAGCCGGGCACAGTTTCCGCGGCTGAGCCGAGCTGTCCCCGCGTCCCCTTCTCCTTCCCCTTCCCGATCCCTTCCCTTCCCCTTGTTCCCATCTCTATCCCTTCCCCTTCTCCCCCATCCCTTCCCTTCCCGTCCCCCGCGAATTTCCCCGCTCTGCTCCCGCTGCCCTCTCCGCCAGCTCTCTCACCCAACTCCTCTTCTTTATTTCCACTTTTCCCATTAAAAAAAAAAGAAATATACATTTTAAAATCTATTTATAAAATATTTTGAATGTCGATTATTTTTTCATCTCTCTCTCTCTTGCGGAAATGAAAATAAAAATAAAAATAATAAAAAACCGCTTTGCCGACGCTCTCGCTCCGATTTTAGGCTTTCACTTCTCTGGGATTTCGTGTGATTTTGCCTTTCCTGCCCCCATCCTTGTTCCCGCAGCCTCTTGCGGGAGCGGGTCCGCGCAGAGCCCGCGGGCGCGCAGCAGCGCTCTGCTCTCCGCGGGGGGAAGGATCCCGCGCGGAGTATTTCGATCCAGCCAAGTGGAAAATAGACTTTCAACCCCCTTTGTGCGGGAGGGGAGGGCTGGCCCCCGCCCCCGGGGCCAACAGAACTCCGAGCAGAGCCAAACTGCGGAGTGAACTCGGGACCGGCCCGCGCAGGGGCTGCGCGCCCGCGCATCCCCCGCGCCGGGCCAAAACGGCCGAAATCGCCACTTCTTGGCAGCTTTGGCTTTGTAAATTTATCTTTTTTCCATTCCCGGCGCAGGATCGGAGCGGTGGGAAGAGGTTTCGGCCGGGGGAAGGTCCTGCCTTTGGAAGGGGACGCGCGGAGGGGAGCGGAGCTTGCGCGGGGGGCGGGAGCGGTGGGGGAGGCTTCACCTGCGCTCCCCCCGCGGGCCGCGGCTCCGCTCCCGCTGCGGGCAGGGCTGGTTCATTCATTTAAACTGGGGAAAAAAAAAAAAAAAAAAAAAAAAAAAAAAAAAAAAAAAAAAAAGGAAACCAAAAGAAGAAGAAAAAATGAGGACTTTAAAAAGATTTTTTTTAATTTATTTTTTAAATACGGAGGGAACACCTCCCCCCGCCCCGCAGCCGGAGCCCCTCTGCCACAACTTCGCGGCGCGCCCGCGGGAGCGGCTCCAGTCCAGTTTTTCGGGCGCTCTCTGCGTCCTTTTGCCTCCTCTGCCTCCCCTTCCTGCCCCATCTCCCCCTGTCCTCCCCGGCCTCTCCTTGTCCTCCCCGGCCTCTCCTGGCTGTCCGTGCCTCCCGTGCCTCCCCCTGCCTCCCCCGGCCTCCTCGTGCCTCCCCTGCCTGTCCTTACCCCCCTCCACCTCCTCTTGCCTCCTCTTCCTCGCACTGCCCGTCCTGTCCATCCCTGCCTTCCCATCCTATCCCGACCCATCCTTGCCTTGATCTGCTCTCCCATCCCTCTCCATCCCATCCCTCCCCATCCCTCCCCATCCTACCCCATCCCTACTTTCCCCTGCTCTTCCATCCCGGCCCTGCTCTCCCATCCCATCCCTACAATCCCTGCCCTTCTCATCCCAGTCCTGCTCTCCCTTATCCCGGCCCTGCTCTCCCATCCCATCCCTACAATCCCTGCCCTTCTCATCCCAGTCCTGCTCTCCCTTATCCCGGCCCTGCTCTCCCATCCCATTCCTACAGTCCTGCTCTCCCTTATCCCGTCCCTGCTCTCCCTTATCCCGTCCCTGCTCTCCCATCCCGGCCTTGCTCTCCCATCCCAGCCCTGCCTTCCCCATCCCTGCATTCCCTGCTCTCTCATCCCGGCCCTGCTCTCCCATCCCGGCCCTGCTCTCCCATCCCATTCCTACAATCCCTGTTCTCCCCATCCCGGCCCTGCTCTCCCATCCCATTCCTACAATCCCTGCTCTCCCATCCCATCCCATCCCGGCCCTGCTCTCCCATCCCGGCCCTTCTCTCCCATCCCATCCCCACAATCCCTGCTCCCCCAGCCCAGCCCTGCCTCCCGCTGCCCTCCCCATCCCGGCCCTGCCTCCGCCGGCCTCCCCTCCCTCCCTCGCCGGCTGCCGGCGGGGCTCAGGTGAGGCCGCCCCCGCGGCCCCGCAGGTACCGCCAGGACCCCCCGCGCCCCGCCGCCCTCGCCTACCCCGGCCCCGCCGCCGCCGCCGACGCCGCCGCCTTCGCCCCCGGCTTCCAGGGAGCCGCCGGCCGGGCCCTGTACGGCAGCGCCGAGCTCGTCTTCCCCGAGGCCGTGGGGCACCCGGCGCTGCCCGTCGGGCCCCCCCAGCTGGGGGGCTCGGCCCTGCCGCACCCGCACCCCTTCTTCGGGCCGCAGCACCGCGACCCGCTCAACTTTTACCCCTGGGTGCTGCGGAACCGCTTCTTCGGCCACCGCTTCCAAGGTGAGCGGGGGCGGCGGGGGGCGCGGGCCGGGGGCTGCCGGCGGCCCCGGGGGCTGCGGAGCCGCGGGGCTCCTTGCCGGGGCTCGGGGGGCCCGCCTGCAGGGCAGGACCTGTTGCTGCCGTGCCCGCTCGCACGGCCGGGGCCCCGGGCGCTCCGTACCGGGGCCGGTGCCTCCGAGCTCCCGGTGCCTCCGAGCTCCCGGTGCCTGCGAGCTCCCGGTGCCTGCGAGCTCCCAGCCCCGGTGCCTCCGAGCTCCCGGTGCCTCCGAGCTCCCGGTGCCTCCGAGCTCCCGGTGCCTGCGAGCCCCCAGCCCCGGTGCCTCCGAGCTCCCGGTGTCTCTGAGCTCCCGGTGCCTCCGAGCTCCCGGTGCCTCCGAGCTCCCGGTGCCGGTGCCTCTGCACGGCCGCGGCCGGAGCGCTCCCGCAGCCCCGGGCCCGTGGCCGTGGCAGCCCCGCAGGGTCCCGGCCGAGCATCGCGGAGCTCCGGGGCGCGGGACCGCCGCCGCCGCCGCCGCCGTGCGCAGCCGAGCCGGGAATTTGGTTTTCTCCTTCCCGGGAACGAAGGGAAGGATTTCGGTGCGGTGGATCTCGGCTGCGCAGGGAGATGTTGTTTGGTTCTGTAGATTTTCTCTCGATTCCTTTTCTTCTCTTTATTTCTTTTTTCTCTTTCTTTCCTTCTGTTTCTTTTCCTCACTTTCTTGTTTTGCTTCTTTCGTTCTTTCTTTCTTTCGTTCCTACTTTCTTCCTCTTAATTTTCTGATTCTGCCTCTGTTTCTTTCATCTTTATTTTCTTTCTCTCCGTTCCTTCCTATCCTCTTTCTTTTCCTTTTCCTTTCCGTAGCTGCGTCCTTTTCTTTCCTTTTTTCCCCGTGCTTTTTCTTTCTCTTTTTTCCCCCGTTTGTTTCATTTTTATTTTCTCTTTTTCCGCCTCTCCGTTTCCCCTCCGTCCCGCCGCGGTGCCGGGGGGTCCCGCAGCCCGGATTAGTTTTATCTGCTCGGCACCGAGCCCTCGCTTGTCCCCGGGGCTCCGCCGGGGATTGCGGCCGCTGCCGGCGGCTCCCGGGGCACGGCCCGGGCCCTCGGCCCCGGCAGCGGCTCGGGGTCCCCCGAGCCCGGCCCGCCGCTCCCCCGAGCCGTCCCTCTGCCCTGCCTTCTCTCTCCGCCTTTGATTTTGTGTTTCTTCCCTTGCTTTCGTTTCTTTCTGCCTTGTTTCGCTCGCTTGCTTTACAGATTTCCGTCTCTCGTTCGTTATTCTTTGCTTCTTTCCTTCTTTTTTTTTTTGCTTTCCCACTTCTTGTCTCTCTCTTTCTTTCTCCTTTCACTTTGTTTTCCTTCATTTTTTCCTTTCACTTTCTTTTCCTTCTTTTTTTCCTTTCTCTTTCTTTCCCTTTTTAAAAATTGCTTTCCCACTTTTCTCCTCTCTTTTCTTGTCCCCTTCCCTCTTTCTTTCTTCCCTCCACTTTTTTCCTTCTTAGTTTTCCTTCTCTATTTTTTTCCTGCCACTTTCTCAGTCTTCCTCCTATTTTATAATTCCTTTTTCTCTCCGTCTCACTTTTTCCTTTGCCTCCCACCTCCCTTCCTCTTTCCTTTCCTCCTCCTGCTGCTCTCCCCATCCATCCCTTCTCCCTCTCTTTCTTTCTTCCTTCCCCTCTCCCTGCCCTCCCTTTGGCGCCGCGGGGCTGAGCGGATCCAAGGGGCAGAACGCGGCACGATCGCCACAATTTCGGGGTGGAGAAGCCTCCCAAAACCCCCGCGATTCCCCTTTCGTGCCCTGGCCGTGTCACAGGGCCGGGCAGCCGCCCCAGCACGGCCCTGCCGGGGCCGCGCTGAGCTCGGTGTGTGCCCGCAGGGAGCGAGGTGTCCCAGGAGAGCCTCCTGCTGCACGGCCCCTTCGCCCGCAAGCCCAAGCGCATCCGCACGGCCTTTTCCCCGTCGCAGCTGCTGCGCCTGGAGAGAGCCTTCGAGAAGAACCACTACGTGGTGGGCGCCGAGCGCAAGCAGCTGGCCAGCAGCCTCAGCCTCTCCGAGACACAGGTACTGCCACCTGCCTGTCCCACCGTGCCCCACCGTGCCCCACCGTGTCCCACCGTGTCCCACCCCGCTCCAGCAGCGGCCCCAGGCCCGCACAGCGCTCCCGTGTCAAGCCCCAGCTGGGCTTGCCAGGCCCCCCAGAGCCTGCGGGTGTTCTGGGGCTCCTCGGGGTGGCTTTGGGGTTTTTGTGAGGCAGGTTTTGGGGTTACAGGAGCTGTGGCGGGTTTGGGGCTGGGAATGCAGCTCTGGTGTCGTCCCGCTCTCCCGAGCACCTTTCCGGTGTTGTTTCTCGCTGGCTTGGGGTGTTCTCCTTGGGAGCAATTTATGGGTTGGAAATCCTGTCAGGGAAGAAGCAGCTTTCCCTGGAAAGCTGGAAAACCTTGGCTGAGCTGAGCAGCTCCGGGTCTGTGCACCAACACCCGGAATTCAGGACGGGTGTGGAGACGGTGCTGCCGAAAGGCGCTGGTTTTGGGGGAGACTTTCTGGGATCAGAACAGACATTTCAGAGGAATTTAGATGTAAGGAGAGCCAGGAGAAGCACGAGGATGAAAGGAGAAGTGGACAGAGCTGGGGGAAAATGAGGGAGTAGGGGCTGAGCATCTGTGTGTCCGAGCCCGGTGTCCTGGTGAGCGGCTGTTCCCAAATGCTCCAGGAGAAGGAGTTTCATTTCACGGGATATTCAGCAGATGAAGGGAGGGAGAAAGTTTTCCCCGAATTCTGGTGAGGTGGTTGGGCCTATGTGCTGAATTAATTGAAATTTTAAGCTTAAATTTAGTTGGGAAATAAAGCTGGAGCCGTGGGTGTTCCCAGTGCCCGCCTGGCTCATCCTTGCCCAGGCTCTGCCAAACAAAACCTCCAGACGCGTCCCTGGGAGCGGGAAGTTCCTGGGAGGAAAATGTCACCGGCACGGGGACAGCGGCAAGGAGCAGCTGTGGGTGTCGGGAAGCCGGGGCTGAGCCCCCAAAATTCCCGGGTGTTTGGATCCTGAGGGTGCTGCTGCCCCGACCCGCAGCCCGCGGCTCGCGGGGCTCAGCGCCGACACCGGCTCGGCTCCCTTCCCGCTGCTGCCGTCACCTTCCGGGCTGGAACGGAGAAAAAAGGGGAAAAAAGGACAAAACCCAAAGGTCAAAGAACAGCCAGGAACTTGTCGGGGTGGAAAGGGCAGCTGTGGGATGCCCCAGGGGGAGCTTAGCCATTCCCTGGTCTTTCCCAGCACGGCCTGGAGCCTAGCTGCAGTAATGCCATTTACTGGGGAAGAGCAGCAGCGGCATCCAGCCCACACCCCAGGGAGATCGGGGAGTGCAGAGAGGCCACGGAGATATTTTCAATTTTCTTTTCTTCTGTGCTGCAGCCTATTTTTTTTCTATGATTTTGGGAAGCTGCTGCTGCTGCTGGCGGGGAGCGAGCGCGGGGAGCACGGGAGGCAGCGGCAGGGCCGGGAACGGCTCCGTCCTTCCCCACGGATCCATCCGGGAATGGCACCCGCCAGCGGGGGCTTCAGGCTGCAGGAAAACGATTTTCCCTTCTGTTTTGTGGCTTTGGAAAAATAATTTTTAAAAAATCTGTTTTAATTACCTGGAGGGAAATAATCCCGGTGTGCCGAGGGATGGGAGACACCCAGGTATTGGGATTGGAGGAGTGGGACAGCCAGGGGCTGGTGGCTGTGCCAAACCCACGATATTATTACTATTATTATTATTAATTAAATATTCGGTGATAAATCCTGCATGGAATCACATTTCCATGGAAAACCAGCCCGCTTTATCCAGGACACCCATCCCGGTGTGACACAGGTGTGTTTTCACCTGGGGCCTCACACCCAAACCCATAATTTGGGAGTTTTATCATTTTTTCATGGATTTAACAATTCCCAGAGGGGTTGCAGCTCATGGCTGTGCCTGGCCCTATTTCCCAGCGGCTTTTCCCCTGGAAAAGGCAGCTGTGCCCCCCGGGCTGTGCCAGCTCGGGGTCCCCCAGCCAGGGAGCAGCACCTGGAGCAGCCCAGGGAAGGTGAGAAGGGTTCAGGTGCTGCCCAGCATCAGGAAATGCCTTGGGAAATGGGATAGGGATGGTGCAGGTGTTTAACCCCTTCCCAGCCGTTCTCCCACCGAGGAGCTGCGTTAATTCGGGGTGAGATTGGAACAACAGGCCCAGAACAGCAAAATCAAAGGGACCGGGGAACAAAATGCAGCTGCAGGTGCTCCAAAAGTGGGATCAGGGTGGAGAAGGGAGGGCTCCGAAGGGAATCTGGGATGGTCTGAGCGAGGGGAACCCTCTGCGGGGTTTGGGTGTGACGGGGACACGGGGGTGTGACCCAGGTGGCATCGAGCTGGGTGTTGGGGGGTCTGGGCAGGGTGGGGGCACTGGGATCAGCAGGCATCGGGGGCACTGTGGTGGCATAGGGATCAGCAAGGATTGGGGGCACTGTGGGATCAGCAGGGATCCTGAGGACTGTGGTGGCACTGGGATCAGCAGGGATCGTGGGCACTGTGGGTACCTTGGGATCAGTAGCGATCCTAGGCACTGTGATATCACCAGGATCAGCAGGGATCCCGGGCCCTGGGGGTGCTCTGGGACCAGCAGGGATTGTGGGCACTGTGCTGGCACTGGGATCAGCGGGGTTCCTGGGTGCTGTGGTGGCACTATTGGGGGCACTGTGGGATCAGCAGGGATCATGGGCACTGTGGATGCTGTGGGATCGGTGGGGTTCCTGTGTGCTGTGGATGCTGTGGGATCAGCAGGAATCCTGAGGACTGTGGTGGCACTGGGATCAGCAGGCATCGGGGGCACTGTGGTGGCATAGGGATCAGCAAGGATTGGGGGCACTGTGGGATCAGCAGGGATCATGGGCACTGTGGATGCTGTGGGATCGGTGGGGTTCCTGTGTGCTGTGGATGCTGTGGGATCAGCAGGAATCCTGAGGACTGTGGTGGCACTGGGATCAGCAGGGATCCCAGGCCCTGGGAGTGCTCTGGGATCAGCAGAGATCCTGGGCACTGTGGGTACTTTCGGATCAGCAGGGATCGTGGGCACTGTGGTGGCACTGGGATCAGCAGGGATCCCAGGCCCTGGGAGTGCTCTGGGATCAGCAGAGATCCTGGGCACTGTGGGTACCTTGGGATCAGTAGCGATCCTAGGCACTGTGATATCACCAGGATCAGCAGGGATCCCGGGCCCTGGGGGTGCTCTGGGACCAGCAGGGATTGTGGGCACTGTGCTGGCACTGGGATCAGCGGGGTTCCTGGGTGCTGTGGTGGCACTGGGATCAGCAAGGATCCCAGGCTCTGTGGGTACTTTGGGATCAGCAGGGATCCCAGACAGTGTGGGTGCTCTGGGATCAGCAGGGTCCCCGTGCCCTGAGGTGCCCCAGAACTGTGTGCCAGGCTGGGATGTGTGCTGGGAATGTGACAAGCTGGGGACACCGTGCTGTGCCCTGTCAGCTTGGGCAGGACTTTGCTGTGCCCAGCGCTGGTGGCACCAGTCACTTCCCCTCCCATGGGAGCAGCCTGGGCTGGGAAGGCCTTTCCCTGGATCCCTCTGGCACCATGGAGCCCAGAATTCCCAGCAGAGCCGCTCCACCCCCGGCAGCTCGTGGGGCAAACCCCACCTGGGCTCTCAAATCTGCATTCCCCAAGCAGAGGCCTCTCCCTGGCTCCTGCAGAGGAGAGTTTGGGCTGGTTGTGGAGTCACCGTGTGTCCCAGTGTCCCCTCACAGCTTTGGGATTGTTGTGGAGTCACCGTGTGTCCCAGTGTCCCCTCACAGTTTTGGGGTGATGATGGAATCCCTGGGTATCCCAGTGTCCCCTCACAGTTTTGGGGTGATGATGGAATCCCTGGGTATCCCAGTGTCCCCTCACAGCTTTGGGATTGTTGTGGAGTCACCGTGTGTCCCAGTGTCCCCTCACAGCTTTGGGGTGATGATGGAATCCCTGGATATCCCAGTGTCCCCTCACAGTTTTGGGGTGATTGTGGAGTCCCTGCATATCCTGCTGTCCCCTCCTGGATCTGTGCCTGCAGGGACGGAGCAGCCCCGGCCAGGGGCTCGGTGCTGGCTGTAATTAATAATTAATAATTAACGGAGCGGATGCCTGGGAATCACAGGAGGAGAAAGATGCCCAGATAGAGCTGCAGAGAGGCCCCGTGCGAGGCCCGGGGCTGGCAGCTGTCCCCTGCCCTGAGAACTGTTCCCAAAAACCAACCAGAGAGGTTTGGGGGGGTTTTAGGAGGAAAGTCCCCACAGGAACAGGCGGAGGTGCAGCGCTGGCACTGGGGGTGGTGGCACTTCGGGTGACAACCTGGCACAGGCGGTGTCACCCTGTGACAGCGGGGCTGGTCCCCTCTGTCCCCATCCAGACAGGTCCCAGTGTCCTCACCCTTTGAGTCACCGCCTGGGGAAGCTCCACCGGATTTTAATTGTCCCCTAGCGGTGGTGGCAGTGTCGCCTTGGGGCCAGCGGCATTCCCGGGCACAGCGCGATGTCCCGGGGGCCGAGGTGGCCCTCGGGGCACGGCACAGCTGGGAACGCGCAGGGAAACACGGCTGGGAGCCGGGTTTGGGGGCAGGACAGGGATGCAGGAGCCCCCCGGACCGTCCCTGTCCTGCAGCAGGAGCTGGGGGCGGGAGGCGACCCCGGGGACAGAGCCAGCCCGGGACCTGGGCACGCACAAACAGCCGGCACGAGAAGGGTTAATTTGGGAAGGGACAAAACCCCGGGCTCGGGGCTCTGAACCGATTCCTCCCGGAGTGAGGGGACAGCGCATCCCCCTGCCCACGGGGAGCTTCGGGCGCTTTTCCCTCCTGGCTGCGGCCTTTGGAGCGAGGGATGGGCACGGGATCCTCCAGCCCGGGAGCATCCCCGCTCCAGCCGGGAGAACCGAGCCGAGCCGGGCCGGGCCGGGCCGGATCGGGCTGGGCAGCGCAGAGCCGCGCTCGGGCAGATTTAATTGCTTCATGCCTTGGTTCCCGTTCCACAATTTAGGGACAAGGCGCCTTCCCGGCTCCCAGAGGTTTAATTAAAGTTTGCAGAGCGCTCTGCGGCGCGGAATGGAAGCGCCAGCCCGGCCTTGTTCCGGGAATGCCCCAGAGCGGGGAGAGGCAGCGGGCTGTGTCCCGGGAGAGCAGGACGCGACCGTGCCGGGAGGAGCCGGTCCTGAGCCGGGACAGCCGAAATCAGGGGCGGCTGGGCTGGTGTGGCTCCAGGGAATGCCGGGCTGGGGTGGGAATGCTGGCCCGGGATGGGAATGCCGGGCTGGGATGGGAATGCTGGGCTGGGATGGGAATGGTGACACGGGATGGGAATGCTGGCCCGGGATGGGAATGGTGATCCAGGATGGAAATGGTGACACGGGATGGGAATGGTGACCTGGGATGGGAATGCCGGCCCCTGAACTGGGAATGCTGGCCCCAGCACTGGGAATGCCAGCCCCAGAACTGGGAATGCCGGCCCCAGAACTGGGAATGCTGACCCAGGATGGGAATGCCGGCCCCAGCACTGGGAATGCCGGCCCCAGCACTGGGAATGCCGGCCCCAGAACTGGGAATGCCGGCCCCAGCACTGGGAATGCCGGCCCCAGAACTGGGAATGCTGACCCAGGATGGGAATGCCGGCCCCAGCACTGGGAATGCCGGCCCCAGCACTGGGAATGCTGACCCGAGATGGGAATGCTGGCCCCAGAACTGGGAATGCTGACCCGGGATGGGAATGCCGGCCCCAGCACTGGGAATGCCGGCCCCAGCACTGGGAATGCCGGCCTGTGCCACCCCGGGAGGGCTCTGGATCGGGGAGCAGGCGGTGCCTGTGGCCGGTGCTGAAGGAAAAGCGCCGATGGTGCCGGGATCAGCTGAGCGGCGCCAGCGGCTGCAGGACCGGAACAGCTGCGGGAGAAGGCTCAGCCTGGGCCGGGCCGGGCTGGAATGGGCTGGGCTGGGATGGGCTGGGCCAGGCTGGGCCGGGCTGGGCTGGGCCGGGCCGGGCTGGGCCGGGCTGGGCTGGGCTGGGCTGGGCTGGGCTGGGCTGGGCTGGGCCGGGCTGGGCTGGGCTGGGCTGGGCTGGCAGCGGCGGCTGAGCAGTGGCGCCGAGTGCTGCGGGCCTGGGAGCCAGGCAGCGTCCACAGCCCCCCGGGGCATCCTCACCCTGCCTGGGGCATCCTGCAGCACCCCTCAGCATCCCAACTGCCACATCCTGCATCCCATCCCTGCCTGCAGCATCCCACACCCCTTACCCCATCCACTCTGCTTCCTGCAGCGTCCTGCATCCCTCACTGCTGCCAGCAGCATCCCTCCTTGCTGGCATCCCCCCTCCTGCATCCCTGCCTGCCCCATCCTGCATCCCTGCCTGTGCCACCCTGCATCCCTGTGCCATCCCATATCCCTGCATCCCTGTGCCACCCTGCATCCCTGCATCCCTGTGCCATCCCGCCTCCCGCGTGCCCCCTGACCCTGTGGGTGCCCTCAGCCCCCCGGGCTGTCCCTGGCCGTGCTGCCCTGTCCCCAGACCCTGAGCCAGCCCAGCCCAGCCCACGCTGCCAGCGCTGGGCCGAGCTCAGTGGGGTGGATCGGGGCTCCTGGTGGGATCCCAGGGATGGAGACCCCACTGCCCCTTGGGGCTCCCGGGGCAGAGTGGCACCAGCAGAGCAGGACAGGTCCTCTGAAACCTCACTGGGTCAATTAATGATGGATAATTGGGGTTCTGTCCTGGCTGGAGGTGTGGGGGTGGCTCTGAGCGTCATCCCAGTGTCACTGCAGCCACGGCCGCTGTGCCTGTGGCACCCTGGCAGTGTCCCAGTGTCACTGCAGCCACGGCCGCTGTGCCTGTGGCACCCTGGCACCGCTGGCAGCCGGGACAGGGCTGGCTGTGGCTGCTCCCCGTTCTGTGCCCACCCAGCCCAGCCCAGCCCGGGCTGCTGGCTCTGGGCGCTGTGAGGAGTGTCACCCTGCTGCTGTCCCCTGCCTGAGGTGTCACCAGTGTCCTTCACCCCGTGTTTCTCCAGGGCTGTGAGGTGGCAGCAGCCACATCTGTGCCCCGTGGCCCACCCTGCTGTGGGAAACTGAGGCAGGGAGGGGTGGCTGTGGGAGCGCTCCTGGAGGGACAGGGATGGGGACAGGGACAGGACAGGGGTGACGACAGGGATGGGGACAGGGATAGGGATAGGAAAAGGAACAGGGGCAGGGGCGGGGATGGGAACAGGGACAAGGATAAGGACAGGGACAAGGATGGGACTGGGGCAGGGATGGGGATATGGACAGGGATGGGGACAGGGAGAGGGACAGGGATGGAGTTGGGGACAGGAATAGGGATGGGGTTGGGGATAGGGATAGGAAAAGGAACGACACAGGGACAGGGATGGGGACAGGGACAAGGAGAGGGATAGGGATAGAGTCAGGGACAGGAACAGGGATGGGGTTGGGCATGGGGATAGGAAAAGGAACAGGGAAAGGAACAGGGATGGGGATAGGAACAGGGACAGGAACAGGGATGGGGTTGGGGATAGGGATAGGAAAAGGAACGACACAGGGAGAGGGACAGGGAGAGGGATGGGGACAGGGATGGGGACAGGGATAGGAACAGGGGCAGGGATAGGGACAGAGATGGGGACAGGGACAGGGATAGGGATGGGGATGGAGTCAGGGACAGGAACAGGGATGGGGTTGTGACTAGGGAGAGGAAAAGGAACAGGGCCAGGAATGGGGATAGGGATAGGAACAGGGACAGGGTCAGGGACAGAGTCAGGATCAGGGACAGGGATGGGATAGACCCAGGGCCAGGGCCAGGCCCCGGCCAGTGTGGCCGCTCGCGAGGGAAGCCCAGCCTCCCGCGGCAGGCCGGCCGTGCCCGGAGCCCACGAGGCGCTGTGCGCTGTGCCGCAGGTGAAGGTGTGGTTCCAGAACAGGCGGACGAAATACAAACGGCAGAAGCTGGAGGAGGAGGGCCCCGACTCGGACCAGAAGAAGAAGGGCTCGCACCACATCAACCGATGGCGCCTGGCCACCAAGCAGTCGAGCGGAGAAGACATCGACGTCACCTCCAACGACTAAGGCAGGGACACGCTGCTGGCGCGGCCACCATGCACAGGAGCCCGGCGCGGCCAGCGGGGACAGCGGCGGCGGCACCCCGCGGACTGTAGGGACACAGCCCGACCCGTCCCCCCCGCGCCCGGGGCCACCCTCGGAGGGGCTTTCGGGGAGCCCCGGCCGAGCCCAGCGGGGAGAGGAGGCTGCCAGGGCGGCCCCGGAGCGCGCATCCCGCCCGGCGCCGGCTCCGGCCGGTCCTGCCACAAGCTCCGTGCTCCGAGCCCTTCTCCCTTCGCCTTTTTATTCTCGTTCCCCACCGTTTCCTTTCTCCCACCCCTGATTTTCTCCGTTGGTTTCATCGTTTGGGTTTTTTTTTTTGGTTTTTTTTTTAAATGAGGATTTGTTTTAATTTATTCTTTCTCCCCGTGCCCGTGTGCGTGCGTTCCCTCCCGTAGGTAGCGGCTGTAGTGAGTGTCACTGCGTGGAAATAAAAGAAAAACCTGCTGGAAGCTCACCTGGACAGCGCTGTCCCCGGGGCACGGCCACGGGGGGACACCGGGGGACACTGGGGGCACTGGGGGGCACTGGGAGCGAGGGAACAAGCGGAGTTTGGTGGCTCCATGGTGGTGGGTGAGGAGCTCAGGGGAGAAAGGTCAGGAGCCCCTACCAGGTTTTCCTGGAAACACCCCCAACCCCCAATATATATATATATATGAATGATATACATATATATGTAAAAATACAATAATTATATATAAAATATAACATATATACACATATATACACATGAATAAAGCATGTACATGCCAATGCACCTGTAGTGTGTATATTGTGTTTTATGATTTATATTTTATATATATTTATTAGCATGCACACGGTGTACTCTGTGTGTTAAATGTATCTATAAAATATAGATTGTGCTTCATGAGGTGTATATTATATATAATAATATCTAATTACATATTTTAAAATATATCAATTGGTTTATATATTTTATTATATGTACTAGATGATAATTATATATATTATGCCTATAATTATACATATTATTATATGCTAGCATTATACAGATTTTGCAGTTATTTATGTATAATTATACACAAAGACACAAAATTCATAATTCCTGCTGTTGGGAAATCCCCCTCCCCACATCCAGGGGAAACCATTCCCAGGAAAATCCCCATCCCCAGCAGCTTCTCCCTGGAAAAGCAGCCCACAATAAGCTTGTCCTGGAGGAGCCCTTTGAATCCCAGCATTCCCGCTGGGATGGCGCACGGAGCTGGGAGCACGGCGGGGCTTTGACACTTTTATTGCGACACAGCCGGGCGTGGCACGGCCACCGCGGCCGGGGTGACACGGCTTAAGAGAGAGGCAGCCCTGGGGGCCCGGGGTGTCCTGGGGCGTCCTGGGGGTGTCCCAGGGCTGTCCTGGGGTGTCCCAAGGTGTCCCCGGGGTGTCCTGGGGTGTCCCAAGGTAACCCAGAGGTGTTTCAGGAGTGTCCTGGGGTGTCCTGGGGTGTCCCCGGGGTGTCCTGGTGGTGTCCTGGGGTGTCCTGGTGGTGTCCTGGGGGTGTCCCGGGGTGTCCTGGGGTGTTTGGGGGTGTCCCAGAGTGTCCTGGAGGTGTCCTGGGGCGTCCTGGGGTGTCCCAAGGTAACCCAGAGGTGTTTCAGGAGTGTCCTGGGGTGTCCCAGGGGTGCCCCAGGGGTGTCCTGGGGTGTCCCAAGGTAACCCAGAGGTGTCCCGAGGTATCCCAGAGGTGTTTCAGGGGTGTCCCAGGGTGTTCTGGGGTGTCCCAGTGTGTCCTGGATGTGTCCTGGGGGAGTCTCAGTGTCCAAGAATGTCCCAGGGTGTAACAGGGTGTCCCACAGGTGTTCCAGGGGTGTCCTGGGGGTGTCCCAGGGGTGTCCTGGGGGAGTCTCAGTGTCCCAGGATGTCCCAGGGTTTAGCAGGGTGTCCCACAGGTGTCCCAGGGTGTCCCGGGGTGTCCAAGGGTATCCCAGAGGTGTTCCAGGGGTGTCCCACGGTGTTTGAGGGTGTCCCAGGGGTGTCCTGGAGGTGTCCTGGGGGTGTCTCAGTGTCCCAGGATGTCCCAGGGTCATCCCAGTGTGTCCTGGGGGTGTTCCCAGGGTGTCCCAGGGGTGTCCCCGGGGTGTCTCAGTGTTCCATGGTATCCCAGTGTGTCCCAGGGATGTCCTGGGGGTGTCCCTGGGGTATCCCAGGGTGTTTGGGGGTGTCCCAGGGTGTCCTGGAGGTGTTCTGGGGGTGTCTCAGTGTCCCAGGATGTCCCAGGGGTGTCCCAGGCTGCTGCAGGGTGTCCCACAAGTGTCCCAGGGTGTCCTGGACGTGTTCCTGGGGTGTCCCGGGGGTGTCCTGGATGTGTCCCAGGGGTGTCTCAGTGTCCCAGGGTATCCCAGGGTGTCCCAGGGTATCCCAGGGTGTCCTGGTGTGTCCTGGGGGTGTCCTGGGGTGTCCCGGGGGTGTCCTGGGGTGTCCCAGAGGTGTCCCAGGGGTGTCTCAGAGTTCCAGTGTGTCCCAGGGTGCCCACCCCGCTGGAAGAGGTGCTGCTGGCAGCTGTGCCCTCGCCATTCCCGAGGGATTCGCTGCCAGGGGTGCTCAGACCCGAGGACGAGCTGCTGGGTGTGCAATAAGCCACCCAAACCAGTAAAAAGCCCAAAGTGGTGTTGCCCAAAGGGACCTGGGGACACACCTGGACTGGGGACGGCCACCAGCAGCAGCGCTCCACATGCCAGCCTGGGAATGTCCTGGGAGCACCCCGGGGGCGCCCAGAGCTGTGCCAGGGGGTCTCACACACCCCGGGAGCCCCTCACCCCTCCCAAGGCCATCCCGGGCTCTGGGTCTCCATCCCAGCCCTCCAAGGGGAGGGGACAGCTCATCCCTCGGGTGGGGGGCATTGGTGGCATGTCCCTGGTGGCCAGGTGACCCCACAGCCACCTCCTGCCCGTCCTGCCGGGACCTGGCACCCCCAGGGTGGGGAGCAGGAGAAGGAGCAAGCAGGGAAAACGGAAGGAGCTGAGCTGTGCCCAGGCTGGAAGGTTTGGGACGTGGGTGACACCACCCTGGGACTGTCCCCTGGCGGTCCCCAGGAGCAGCCAACAGCCCCATCCTCCAGGAGAGACGCCCAAAGCTTCTCACCAGCACCTTTTGCTGCAACCCGGTCCTCATTATTCCTTAATTAACAGAGCCAAGAAATCAATTAAGTGCGACATTTCTGATTAATACTCCGGGAGACGAGCATCTCATGGATATCCCGAGGTGAAGGGCTCGGTGTGAGCGGCGCTCCCCGTCCCTCCCCAGTCCCACAAACCGGAATGCAAACGCTCGGGGTCGTTCCCGCGAGCCCAGGGCTCCGCTCTGAGCGTGAGGAGATTAATTAGCGATTAACGAGCGCGCAGGATGTTATCATGGGCTCTGGAGGCTCCCTGGCACCGTCGGCTGGCCTGGCACCCAGCGCTGGCCTGGAGCCGCTCTCGGCCCCGTGTCCAGAGCACTGGGAGGGCTCAGAGGGGCAATCCCACATGGGGCAATCCCACATGGGGCATTCTCATATGGGACATTCCCGTGTGGGGCATTCCCACATGGGGCATTCCCGTGTGGGGCATTCCCGTGTGGGGCATTCTCATGTGGGACATTCCCGTGTGGGGCATTCCCACATGGGGCATTCCCGTGTGGGGCATTCTCATGTGGGACATTCCCGTGTGGGGCATTCCCGTGTGGGGCAATCCCACATGGGGCATTCCCACATGGGGCATTCCCGTGTGGGGCATTCCCGTGTGGGGCATTCTCATATGGGACATTCCCGTGTGACAATCCCAGGTGGGACATTCCCAGGTAGGAATTCCTATGTGACATTGCCACGTGGGACATTCCCATGTGACAATCCCACGTGGGACACTCCCCTGCTCTCCATGCTCCCACACGAGGGCAGGGACCAGGACCAGCCCGGGCTGGAGCTGCCACAGTGACACCAGTGACACTAGTGACACTGGTGACAGCAGTGACACCAGTGACACCACTGACACCGGTGACACCAGTGACACCAGTGACACCAGTGACACCACTGACACCAGTGACACCAGTGACACCAGTGACACTGCCCCTGCAGACCCGTGGGGCCAGCCGGGGGCTGTGAGCTTCCCTGCTGCTTTGGGACAAAATCCACCCCCTGCCCTGGCTGGAGCCACACCAGGGGTTCAGGACACCGTGATCTGGGTGTCCCCAAGCTGGGACACCCGAGGACTCGGGGCTGCCCAAGGCTTTGGGAGCACAGGGCCACCACAAGGTGCTCCTGGTGCACAGCCCGTGTCCTGCTCGTCACCAGGCTGGGGACAGCGAGGGAGGGCAGCAGAGAGGGGCCTCAGTGCCCTGATCGTCCCTGGGTTTGGGGTGTGGGGACAAGTGCCAGGGTGTGCAGGGCCACCTCCCCTCCCCAGGCCTGCAGGGGCTGTGGATGGGGCTTGGGGCCCTCCCTGGCAGGGCTTTGGGGTGGGGTGGGGTGGGATGGGATTCCAGGGCCCCTCCAACCCAAACCATTCCAGGACTCCGTGCTGCCGGAGGAGGCTGGAGGAGGGAGCTGAGCCCAGGGCCTGGCGGCTCTGCCCAGCATGACACTTGGAGTGACACTGGGACAAAATCTGGGAGGAAGCACTGTGTGTACCATGGCAGAGGCTGGCAGAGGCTGGCAGAGGCAGCCCCGGGAACGGCTGCCTCAGGCCCGGGGTGCTCCCCTCCTCAGCACAAACCCGCCGAGCCGCCTGAATCCCATTCTGCTGCCACGCGAAGCCAAACAAGTCTGCCGGGGTTTGTGCGGGCAGACACAAAGCCAGACTCATTTAGGCCCTTTGATTGTCACTTGTTTGACGGAGCAGCTGCCTTGGAGCCAGGCACAGCTCCTGTGACATCCCCGAGCTGGTCCCAGCCCCTCCCGCGGGACCAGCCCCGCTGCATTCCCCGGAGCTGCCTGGCCTCAATGAACCCCAGCCTCGGCCCGATGGTCACTGCATTAACGGGGTGGGCACCCCCTGCTAACGAGGAGTGACCCTGCGGGTGAGGGGTGTGCAGGGAATCACCACAGCCACTCCCATCACGGGAAATCCGGGAGCTGGCTCTTTCCCTAGGCAGACCCTGATCAATCCCTGGATTTCCTTGATGGCAGCAAAGCCCAGCCTCCTCCCATCCACTGGGAATTCCTGGCAGGTGACCCCAGCCCAGACAGAAAACCTCGGCTCTGGGATCACCCACAAACCCAAACCTCCTCTCTGGGGTCTCACAGCAGAGCACAGCCTCCATCCCTTCCTCCTTCCCAGCTCCAAACAAGGCCTGGGGTGAGGAAGCTCTGAACAGAACCCAGGGGAAGGGGGAAGGCTGTGCCTGGCAGGCACTGCCAGCATCCCTGCTCCCCTTCCTGGGCACTGCCAGCATCCCTGCTGCCCTTCCTGGGCACTACCAGCATCCCTGCTCCCCTTCCTGGGCACTGCCAGCATCCCTGCTGCCCTTCCTGGGCACTACCAGCATCCCTGCTCCCCTTCCTGGGCACTGCCAGCATCCCTTCTCCATCCCTGGGCACTGCCAGCATCCCTGCTCCCCATCCCTGTGCTCCCCGCTCTGCTCCCAGGGTGCTGCCAGTAGGACAGATGGCCATGGAAATGTCCCCAGGACAGCTGTCCCCTCCTTGCGGTGTCCCAGCTCCCAGCTGGGGTGGGATCACCCTCTGGAACGTACATTCATCCCATCCAGTGCATTAAGGGGCTCCCCTGGGCCCAGTCCTGGCCCGGGTGTGAGCCCAGAACAGCCCCGGGGGTGAGGGGGCCCTCTCTGGCTTTCCAGCGGGGTTTGGGAGCAGGAGCTGTCCCAGAGCAGCAGCTCTGAGGGCTGGGGCTGCCTGCTGCTGTGTGAATCACAGCACCCACCCTCCTGTGCAATTGCTCCTGGTTTACAGCAGGGCAGGGCACAACCAGCGGCCCCGAGCTGCCCCACGTGGGTCTGACTCCACACCGGGGGCTCAGGCCTCCAGCCCCAGCATTGCAATAAATCCATCAAGTACATTCTGTGTCAGTGGTGATTTGGTTTCCCTTTTTCCCCCCACCCTCCCCAAACCCACGAGAAATTGGCATTGGAGGGGTAGGAGCCTGTGCCACCCCAGCACCAGCACGGCTCCCTCTCCACAGGCTCCTGCAGGGAGGGACACGGCTCCTGCAGGGACATCCTGCCTCTGGAATGTTCTGCTGGTGGCCACGCTCCAAATGGACCTGAGGGAGTCCCTCGGGGGTGGATTTTGGGTGAATTTTTGTTGAATTTATACCAGAAAGCCAAACTGCGGCCCCAAAGCAGGGAGGGCAGGACTCGGTGCAGTGCAGGGGTGACTCAGCTCTCCCCTTTAACATCCCAAAGGGGAGCCCTTGAGGGACAGACAGACAGACAGACAGATGTCCCCAGAGGGCAGTGTCCCCTCTGAAGGTGCAGTGTCACAGCTCAGCACAGCTGCCAGGACCTGCCTTTGGGTCCTCGTCTGCACCAGCACAAGGACTGGGCAGAGATGGCTTTGCTGGGTGGAGGGGTTGGCAAAAATGGGGGAGAGAAGAGGGAGAAGAGGGAGAATAAGAAGAAGAAGAAGAAGAAGAGAGGAGAGGAGAGGAGAGGAGAGGAATTACAGTTGGAAGGGGGCTGCCATGATCCTGCCCACCTGGGGATTGATCCACACTTAAACCATATCCTGTCCTTAGACTCCAGCTCAGCAAAGCGTGGCTTAGCCAACCACCTCAGAGTAGCAACATCCCTGTCAGAGGGTGCTGGGTGGGACAAACCCCCCTCAGGGCTGTGCAGATGAACAGAGCAGCTCCAGCATCACTTCTGCTCCAACACTCCACCTGTGGGCACCTTGGCTTTCCAGGATCTTGAAACCCAGGACAAAGGCCCTGTGGAATTCCGGGGATCCAGGGCCAGCCAGTCTTGCAGGGAAGGGCAGGATGCCTCCAGCAGCGTCTGCAGGAGGAGGAGGAGGAGGAAGGACAGAGGGGCACAGCCCAGCCCTTCGCTGGGCACACAGATGTGGCAATTCCTCTTCAGCGCATGAGGGCTGGGGTGGGACGGGCAGGAAATCAATACTGGGCATTCCCAATCCCCGATCAATGACATGCAGGCACCCCTCGGTCTCTGCAGAGCTGGTGGTGTGCAGCAGCAGTGGGGACTGAGCTCCCATGAACACGAGATGTGCTGGGTGACGTCTGCGCCGTGCAGGCAGCTCGAGCACGTGAGCTCGCCCCTGAACTCCCTCCATGCAGTGCCAGCAATTCTGAGTTTTGTTAGCTAGTTCTAAAGTGGTTCAACGTGATTTTATTTGTTGTAGTTGCTGCTCCTGTTGCTAAGTTAAAACTTTTAATATGGATCTTTTTGAGTGGTGTGAGGTGTCAGTTCTCGGCAGGTGTTAGTTCACTCCCGGGCTGCCGGGAGCGGTTCCTATCACTGAGCTCTGTTATTTCATCTTCTTGTTGTTGTTTGCTTTCTCCCAGGGCTGGAGCTTCCCCTCTTCCCTCCCCAGACCTCCTGGGCTGGGGTGCTCCTCTTCCCCTCACAAGCCTTTGTTGTAGACCACAGTCTTACTGGTGGTGGCCATGGCGATCTCCGGCTCCAGCTGGGACGTCTCGATCTGTGGAGGCAAAGAGGAGCGGGATCAGAGCCCGGGGATGGATCAGCTGGGGAACTGATTTGTGGGGAAGGAGGAGATGGGGATGATTCCGTGGCAGTCACGCTGCTCCTGGAGTTTGGTGTGCCGTGCTCCAGGCCCCAGCCCCCCCGTTGTGGCGGGGTTTGCGGAACGCCGCACGTTCTGTGCCTGGCAGTGCTCAATGAATTATAGAGTGTCTGAGGCTCCAACGCATCCCACCAGCCCAGCTCCCATCCTTCCCTTCCCTGCAGCTCGCAGCGATCCAGAGCACAAAGCTGGGCCCGGCAGAGCCCGGTGGTGCCGCCAGGGAAGAGCCTCGCTGGGCTCCACCCTCACGGCCAAGCCCTCCCTGCCCCTTTCTCCAGCTCCATGAAATCTCCATCCCTTCCCTAATTTTTTCCCTCCGCCAGCTCCTCCTGAAGCTTTCCCTTGCTCTGAAATCACTTGGAATCTCTGCATCCCCGGGAGAGATCCACTGCACTCCCGGTCTCCTGGGGAAGCAAAGACCCCGCTCCCAGCCGGGCCAGGACACCTGGGAAAACCTGGAATTTTGGAAATCCTAAACACCCAACCCACGCTGGTGCTGACACAATGCGAGGAACCCACGTTAAAAATCGAAATGCTTTTGAAAATGTTTAACCTAGTTAGACAAATTAGCAAAAATTTGTGCAAAACAATTTAGGTATTTAAAATATTCAATGTTTTTAAAAACTGGAAAAACTGTTCTTAGCTTTCAGCTGCAAAAACCCAACAAAATATAACATCAAAGCAATCTTAACATGAGGTGCAACATAACCCTTCAGCAAAGCTGTTAAACAGCTACTGAAGCATCATGGGAAATAGCACTTCATTTATTCAAATGCACATATGTCAGGTTTTTGCACCATATGTCATTCCAAGCTATTTACAGTAATAATTAAATCTTAATCAACGTTTAACCTCTGTAAAATGTTTGAAGGGATCTAATCACCCTTCAGACTGCACTAATGAAGGAGAAATATATAAACATAAAAAGAAAATGATGCATAGATAGCACACCAGAAAGAACAGTAATTGCAAAATTGTATTTCTTTTAAATATAATCAGCAAATTATGTAAAGTAAAGCCAACGAGTATTTTAAGTGAAGACATCTTGGGTGTCAGAGGTGTGATCAGCTAATTTTGTACTGCTATCCATAACAGATGTAGCATATTTTCTTTTAGTGCCATTATTAGCAACTTCACCATTCCTTTCAGTGCTGCAGCACAAAGTGAAGCATTGTGCCGGGAGAGCACCGGGAAAGGTGCAGGAGATCCGGATCCCACGGATCCCTTTCGAGGGAGGATTAACTCTGCTCTGCCTGCCTCTGACGCAGCTTTTCCTCCCATTGTGTGGGGATTTTTTCCTGCCAGGGACAAACAGAGGAGCTCCGAGGTTTTGGGGCTGGGTGGGTTCAAGCGCCGCGAGGAAAACGTCCAGGTGGGAAGCGGAGCCTGGGCTTCAGGGAATGGCTGGAGGGGGCGATGCCACACTGGTGCCAAGGTGGGCATGGGCCACAGGGTGGGTTGTGTCATCTCAGAGGGCTTTTCCAACCTCAGTGGTCCTACTTTGAAATAAATTCCACCTGGAACTGGGTGGGTCAGCGCTGACCGTCCATGGGAAACGGGGCAGCTCAAACCCAACCCGCTCCGTGGGGAGAAGAAGATGAATGGAGAGGCCCCCAGTCCCACCCTCTCCAATGGTCTGGAGAACTGGGAGCCCCAAGGAGGCCACAGCTGCCCTGGTGGAGCCAAAATCAGTGCTCGGACAGCCCTGGGTGTGCTGCGGATGGGATGTGCCAGGCTGGAAGCGTGAGACTGCGCGGGGGGACGGGAAGAAAAGAAGGAAAGAAGGAAAGGAGGAAAGGAGGAAGGAGCAGTGTTGTGCTCACGCTCCCTTGGGACACAATTCAAGAAGCAGTGAGCACAATCCAAGCTGAACAGCAGGAAGAGTATCCTGGTGGGAAGAGCAAAATATCGCAGCCGACTGCTCGGGGAAGGTGTGGGGCGTCTGTGGTGGGAAGTTTTCAGCACAAATTACTGGGAACCCATCAGGAATAGTTTAGGCAGAGCTGAGCTTGTCTTGGTGGAAGGAAGAGATGAGATAATTGTTTGTAGATCCTTCCAGCTTTCATCCCCTGGTCCAGGGGAGAAACAGCTCCTTTCCCTACGTGTGGGATGGGTTCTTCAGGAAGGTTCTTCAGGAAGGCTCTGCAGGAGGGTCTGAGGTGGGCTCACGGAGGTGGGATGGAGGTGGGATAGGTCTGGTCCCTGAGAAGAAGGACATGGGAATTCCTGTCTAAGGTGGAAGGGCTCAAAAACCCCATGGACGTGGCACCTGGGGACATGGTCAGTGGTGGCCTTGGCAGTGCTGGGGGAATGGCTGGACTGGATGGGCTCTGAGGGCTTTCCCAATTTAATGATTCCATGGTTCTCATGCAGGGTGGGCACCCAGCTGGGGAGCCCCGTGACACTCCAGTCACAGACACTGGTTTGGAGCTGTGACACCAAACCCAGGCACCTTCCTGAAGCCTGGGAAGGTGCTGGAGAAACTGGCGGTGACTGGTTGAACTGGAGCCTCCTCTGCAGGTCTCCTTGTGGCTGACTTTAATCAAGAAGGGATTCAAACCTGCTCTAGAGCCTCAGGAGCTCCAAAGGGTGCATCTGCACCAAGGAAAAATGTACAGGAAATTGGGAAAGCTGCTCAGAAATCCATCAGGAGGAACCTGCTCCTCCCACCTGGAAATCAGATGGAGAAGAACAGGGAGATGGTGGTGGGTTACAGGTACCAAGACCACATTAAACCACAACCTTGCTGTGCACCAGTCTTTGACTCCCTTGCTGGTGTTTTTTGCTGGAAAGTGTAATTTCACTCATTTTGGGGTTTTGCTGTTCCAGATGTCCAGAACCCTGGACCTGCTCAGCCACCTGGCCATGGAATTGTGACAGATGTGGAGACCACAGTTCCTGGTCGAGATTTTGGTGTCCCAGGTGCCAAGACTTCCCTGATCATGGTCATGGCCATGCTGGGAACGCTCCTGTGAAGGAGCAGCTGCCTTGGTGGGTGCCCTGAGGAGCAGGCTGGACCTGCACTGATGGGACCTGTCCCACTGTCCCACACGGGACACTCTGTCCCTCAAACCAAGCGCCCACCATGGCACTGGCGTTGAATCATGTCCATCCTCTTCCTCCCAGCTCTGTCTGTGCCAGGGCAAAGGAGGGATCCCCTTCCTGGCTTTGGGATGGTGGCACCAGCCAAGGGCCTTCACCAATGAATCCAGCAGAAGCTCAGGAGGGACAGAAGCTCTCAGCAGCTCTGAGGGACCCAGGGTGGGATGCACCACTCCCAGACAGTGCTACAAGGGGGTTGTTCAGGACAAACCCCAGGATTTGGGGCTGATGGCTGCACTGGCAACTTGGTACCCAACACGGGAAGCTCTCCAATGAGGCCGTGGGAGAAGCAGGAATTCTGTGAGGCCTCTGGAAGCTTTGCCATAGATCCAGGGAGATCCTCACTGGGGACACCACCAGGGTGCACCTCCCAGATCACCCAAAACATGGCTGGGATGAACCACAGCCCATCCCAGCCCCTGGAGCAGGTGAAGCCTGAGGATGCTCCTTTCCCTCCGGCAGACAGCCAAGAGCACGAGAGGAAAAAGAGGGAAAACCCCAAAAACTCAGTGCCCTGACCCTTATTAAACACCTGCTCATGGACCAGCATCTCTCAGGTGGCCCAGGCAGGATGGCAGCAACGCCCCCGACCCGCTGCAATCCATCCCTCCCTCCGGGGGAACAAAGCTGGGAATCGCCTCCCGGGTACCCACGGCTCTCCAGCTCTCTTCCCCCCATCCCTGCCTTGCAGTGGAAGCCTCTCTCCTCTCATCAGCTCCGACAAGGCTAATTGGGGTGATAAAGAACTGGCTCCGAGTGCTGGCGTGGGCTGGAGGAACAAATGGTGCGGTGGTCACAGCTGGTGCCGCGGAGCCGGCGCGGGAGCGGGCGCGGGGGGCTCCGGGCGCCCCAAAGCCGGCAGCGGCTGCCGCGGGGGGCTGGCGGGGGGTGCTGTGTGTTTTGCATGGCTGCTGACACGGGTGTAACGTGCAGGCGAGGCCGGTGAGGCAGCAGCAGGCAGAAAGCAGATGCTTTTTGTTTGGGGTTGATACTCATTTCTATCCCAGCTCGGGAAAAGGTGTAGAAAGGAATGTGCTCCGGAGAGTGCAGGGAGGGAGATAGGTCTAGGCTCGCTGCCAGGGATCCTGGAACGATATGGAAGGCAGCTAGGGGAGACAGGAGCAGATGGATTTGGCATACAGCTCATCACTCAGCCAAAAAAAAAAAAAAAAAAAAAAAAAAAAAAAAGGAGGGGGGAGAAGAAGGGAGAAAGCAGCCAATTTTGGGAGGGGGAGGGTCATGGGGACTGACGGATGCTGCTCCGGGGTGGGGGAAGGGAGGGCTGGGATGGTCACTGTGTCTTCTGCTGCTGCCAGCGGGGAGAGGTGGTGGTGGCTCCTTGGGAGCCTGGGAAGGGTCTCCTGGTCCTCCCAGCAGCTCTGGGCCATCTCCTCCCAGGCCTTGGGTCACCAGGGCAGAGCCCAGGGCAGGGCCAGGCTCTCTGAGCCCTCGGGAAGCTCAGCCAGGTGTAGGAAGGGCTGTGGCACCACGGAGCCATGGAATGGCTGGGGCTGGAAAGGAGCTCAGAGATCACAATGCCCAACCATGCCCAGCACAGCCAGGGCCACCACTCACTGTGTCCCCAGGTGCCACATCCACACATTCTTTGAAATTCCTCAGAAATGGGGACTCCAGTCCTCCTGGGCACACCCAGTGCCTGACCCCCTTTCCATGGGCAAATTCCTCCCAGTGCCCACCCTGAGGCTCCCCTGAGGCCGTTCCCTCTGCTCCTGCCCCTGTTCCCTGGAGCAGAGCCCGACCCCCCGGCTGTCCCCTCCTGGCAGGAGCTGTGC